ACAGTCGTTTATAGCTGCACCAAGTAATCTTTAGGCACTACTCTAAGTTGACTCGTGACCTTCATTGACGCCCGAGTATTTCAGCCAGGCCAGTAGCCTTGTAAACCGAGCCCAGATTGTGCGGTGTTGTGTAACTGTCTTTTGTTCACAAACCTGGCTCAGTGCACTGCTGACCTCTTTTCACTAGGGGCCAGATTAGCATGCAGCGGTGCTGTGTGGCTCATTGCTGTGGTGGTGGTAATCCGCTCGCTCTGAATGCCCCAAACCCTGGTATACGGTTTCAAAACAAGGCTGGATTATCACCACTTTTGAGAGTGAAAAATGCCCAGCAGCCTGGTCTTTCATTCGGAGTACGGTCTTTTGTTACAGGGCCCTGTTTCCTTTGTCCAAGTTCGGAGACCCCGGCCACCCATATAAACCATACGTCTCCAATCCCGGAGTCCCCGGCAGGAAGTGGTTAAAGTGTAGCTACAATGAATCTTTCTTAAACACAATTCAAAACTTTTTGACATCCCTATTGCACTTTGAAATGTGCACTGCTCATAAATATTTACAATAATCGATGTTTTTCTGGACAACTAGGTGTGCTGTTGCTGTGATGTCATCCAGGGAAGACATGGTTCACTGCATAGCTTTTTCTATCAAATTGTGAACCCAGAATTTACTTACTGAGAAAGGGTTGATTGTTTGCTTACTGCTCTGTATTTACTCACCAATGAATCCTCAAAGGAATGAAAATCAGCACCAGCAAAAGCTCAAGAAATTGCAGGAATTTTTGTGCACATAATGATGAAACATTGTGGTTTCTCTTCCCGGGATGACATCACAGTTTCACTCATATTTAAAAATGCCCCAAAGCACAAAAACCAAACAGGCAGGAAAATACTGGTACCACTGAAAATAGTGAAACAAAAACTGAAAACAAAGTTCACTGAGACTCACAGGAGCATTTCGAGAATTCTACATCAAAAAATTCCATTCCTGTTACCCTTTAAACTCAAGAAATCAAACTACTCGATGAAAGAAATGTTAAGCGTGCAGCACACATGCATACTTGTGAGCAACGGTTCATTTCAAATTTTTTTCTCTGAATGTGCCTTTTCAAGGTGTGCCTTCACCACACAACGGAATGACAATGTTCCCCTGCCCGTGGAGATCATTCTTCAACTTTCGTCCAAAGTGACAGGTGTGCTAGACTCAGCATTTTGATTTCACTACAGCCAAGTTCAACAGAATTTGAATGCTTTGGTTTCTGCCAAATGACTCTCTGTTTCGTTTTCTGGTGACACATACATTTGTTTGCCACTGAAGATAAGTCTCTGCTGAGGGGGCGGTATTCCTTCTTTCTCTTCAACTCGTTCCTTTATCCTCTCAACCTAGGGGGATGAAACATGAGGATTTCAGTTTAGGGTGAATATATGAATAGGGTGTATTTATTACTGCCCAAAAAAACAGGGAGCGGTGAAAATGGGCATTAACTATAGCTTAATCATATGCTGCTGGGTTTAATTTGAAGCTTCATAAACGTATACTGGGGGATTTTCAAGATTTTCCTTTTTCAACATTCTTCAAAAATTCATAACTTCAATTACTGGACATTTAAACCCACAAGAATGATTGTCTGGTGGCTACTCTAACTTGACAGGCAACATCTATTGAAGCCCGAGTATTTCAGCCAGGCCTGCCACCTTGTAAGAAAGCCCAGATTGTGGAATGTTACATAATTTTCTTTTGTTCCCAACACTGGCCCAGTGCGCTGCTGGCGTCTTTTCAAATGCCGACCAGATTCGCGTGCAGCGGTATTGTATTGCTCATCCCTAGAGCGCTGGAGCACTTTTGTCCCCAGTGGTAATCTCCTCACACTGAATGCCACAAACAATGACAGACTTTCTCTGCTATTAACAACTGAAAAAATTCCCAGCAGCTCGGTCTTTTGTTCCGAGTATGGTCTTTTGTTACAAGGCCCAGCTCTTTTGTCCAATTCCGGGCAACCCGGCAATAGGTATAAAGAAAATGAACCTGAAACCAGGCTCCCCGGCGTAAAATGGTTAACTGTAGCTTAAACTTTCCGGCTGAAACCCTGAAGGGAAACAAACCGTGCTTACCTTGTCTGTTGGCTCAATGTCAATTTCAATCTGCAATGGGAAAGCACAAATTTTGCAGACTGTAAATCTTGTAGGATTTGGCCAAACACAACTTCATTTACTGCTGATTGGCACAATCTACTTTATAAAGAAGGCAATGACAAGTGGAGCGGTGAGGGGCTGAAGAGACGTGCATGGTTAGGAGGTATCTCGAAGCTTAAGATTCTTAACATGTTGACTGCCAACTGCGAGTATACTTGTAGGAAATGAAAGGCTATTGTAATGTAAATTGAATACACTGGCATCAGTGAGAAGACAACAAATACGCTGCTGTACATGTAGTGTGAAGGACACACATCTGTGAAATGCTCATGTTCAAACAGACACCTGAAAGGTACCGATTAAATATGTGCTTAAGTATGAACTTGGCAAATTAGAACGCCCCTTTGAAATTATGCGCGGCAGTCATTGCGTCTAGCAAGTCTCATAATCGGATCGTCAAATCTGTAACTCACCTCTTTGCCAGTCAGAGTCTGAAAGAAAACAATTGAAGTGTATTATGTTAGGCTTATAATCAAGAAGTGGCTCATTACATACACAGTGGGGTGGGATACGAAGCGGGCGGGATTAGGTTTCATTTCCATGTAGGATATCCGCCTGTCCTTTCACAAGACAAGTCAAAAACAACTGCCCTACTCCTACTGATGTTTGAAGTTGATACTCACTTGGTGCTATCGGAGCCCAAGTTTCCATTACAGCCAGTGATTTGGAATGAGATATGAAATTATAGTGACCAGTGTTTAAAGATGTACAAAATGAGATTCTGTGACCTTCCTCCAAGGAAAAACTGCCTGTCCAGCTTGATGAGACAGTGGGAAAAGTTACTGAACCAATTTCAACCCCATCTTTTGCAAAGCATGTTTCTAGGGACTGCGAATCGCCCAAGGCCCAACGCCGGGCAAGCATCCTGAAAACCATTCAGGAAGCAGTCACCAGATTACGTGTGCACGATTACGTGTGCCTGAATGCAGGCACTATGTGGGCGGGTACCATGACACCACTGACATTAACATAAAGCTTGAATTGTTACAAGATACAAGATGGCCAACACAAGCTTGGCAACAGGTTCTTCCACCTGAAGGTGAAATTTCTCATTTCTTCCAAAACTTAAGTGAACCTGACCACCACAACCAGTATCTCCAAGTTCAAGTCACGCTGAATCATACAGTGGGTGCACTGGGCAGTTTCCAGACTGTCTTGGGGATGAATAATCTATTTTGAGTGAAATCAGTTAATGGTACTTTTGAATACCAAGTTCTCCGCCAAATACTGAACTAGTTAGGAGGGAACAAAACTGAAGTACACGGGCATTTGATGGTACATGCACAAAGACTGCGAAGTAAAATGATGCCTTCAGACTATCACTGTTTAATAAAACTTAAGTTTTCAGAACAAAAGTACTCAAAAAACACTCGGCTGAGTACATGTATTCTCTAAAGTGTTTACTCCATAAAACTTAAATTTTACAAACCTGGGAGTGTCTGAAGCCCTACATTTAGTTTGATAGCTTACCTTTGAGCATTTTATGCCTAGGCTATGGCCAACTCAAGCTTTATTCCCTTTTACCCAGTTCAATATTTGGCAGAGGACCTTGGCTACTTGATACTTGAAAAGTACTTTACAACACTGACAAGGTCTTGGCAAATGGAAGGTTCTAAAGACTCTATCGTCAACCATTTGGGAAAGAGTTCCATATATGGACAACACGAATTTTCCCTTAAAATGTCACAGGCTAAGTAGCAGCCATCAGAAAGTAATAGGGCCTAACTAGCCCAGATTGAGCCAGTCTACTGGACTACATGTACCTCTGTATCCTTGGCCCCATGACGGTCAACCCAAAAAGTGGAAACTTGGTGAAAAAGCCTTCTATGAGTCCCATTTGTCTCATGCGGCTCACTCACCCCATCTGATCATCACGCTCCTTGAACTATTAATACGGGCAATTTCAGTTGGTTTCTGTTCATGGAATTTTGGCTTCTATTTGGTTGTCTCAAAACGGCCATTTGCTTACTACAGCAATTACTTTGTGATCGTTTGGCGGGTGATAAACACAGTCAAGATCTGTTTGCTCTGGGAACCAGACAGTGTTAAAGACATAGGTCCCCAGAGCGTGATGTTAAAGAATAGTAAACAAATGTGAACTGAAATACATGCAATACTTGGGATTACGTGCGAAATCACTGTCAGATACATGTACATGCTGTGGGGCGCGCACACCATTCGCTCGTCCAATCCGGCTGATTGAATATACTCAACAGCTGTTTTTTTCAGCAAATTCATTGCATTCACACAATTACAAAAAGCTTTCTTAGGGATGACACAAACTCGCTGATAAAACAGCAGTTGGGATCACTGTGTTCATCACTGTCTGGCAGTAGAGGCGCACATCACAACTCATAGACTGTCCTTGTTTTTGGAGAAGTCCCTTTATTCAAGGACAACATCAGTCCCTGGAAGAGAGAATGTCCCTAAATGGGGATATTTTTTTTCAAATGGGCTTGGCGATCCTACCATTGTCTTGGGGATTCTTTTAATGCCTTCACTGGATTCAGCAGTAAAAAAAAACCAAGGCCGACATTTAAAAAAGGGTGGGGCAAAGAACGCATCAAAACAGTTTTTCTAAAAATCAATTCTTTATGGTATATTTAATCATGCCACTGCCCAAAATTCATAAAAACCCTTAATAACCAAATACGAATGGAAAATATAGGAGAAAAAAATCGATACAAGCCACTTGGGAAAAAATGTCCCCTTTTAAGGAGACATTCTGTCTCTCTGGGGACTGGTTTGGTCCTCAAATAATAAAGGTACTCCTCCGAATACACTCGGGACAGTCACTGAGTTGTGATGTGTGCCTCTATTGTCTGGTTCCTAGACAAAACAGATCATGACTGTGGTTTAACACCAGTCAAAAAATCGAGAATTAATCATCGTAGTAAACAGATGGCCATGTTGAGATGACCAAACAGAAACCAGAATTTCATGGACAGAAACCAAATTGCTGTGTAAAAAATATGGGGCTCAAAGACATTTTAGCAAAGTTTCTACTTTTTAGGTGGGCCGTCATGGGCCCAATTGGGGTAGTACAGTAGACTGGCCCCAGTCTGGGCTGGCCCTAATTTAGCAACAAAATTCCAAAGCATTCACTTAGAAAACACTTAAGTTTTTCAGATAAGTCTTGAAGGTTTGTGCACAGGGGCATTCCCTTGGGGGATTGTAATTTGCATGCTTGGGGACCCCCCAGATTTTTTACATTTTAATCTTGCAAAACTGGTACATGCATGCCCCCCCCCAATGGCAACACTCTCTGTAAGTTTAATGCACTGACCCTATTTTGGGGAAATTTCAAATAGTAAATTGTGAAAAAATGTGACTTTCTTACTGTTAAACTAACTGTGCAAATTTCAATCCACCATGTAGTTTCCCCTCAAAATTTCCCTCAAAACCCTGCCCTTTTTTTACAACATTAACCCTACACTAGCCTACAGTTATTGAGCACAATGTCACAATCATCTCCCAAGGTGGATTCAAAAGTTAAAATGTTGCTCTCCCTTCTGTGATAGGAACAGGATCCCCAAATTTACAATCCCCTTCCCGTGTACAACTCTTCATTTGTTCATCTGTCATTGTCATGTATGTCGCGTCATTAGGTCATCCGGGTACAATGTCATCTAACCACCATTCACCAGTTCCTCTTACTTCTACGAGGTTAACTAACACTAACAGTATGTCCATAATATATTTCGTCACTTAGAAAACATAACACACCTTCACTTTTATCAACATTTTGCCGTGTTTGTGACGTTATAATTTTCCGACGGACTAGCTCACTTGCACTTGGCTGATCCACGGGACTGCGCACATGAACTCTCTTAAGCCGCGACTGATCTGAAACCCAAACTCATGGTATTGGTGATCAAGTGATAGTACAAACTGATAGATGCCGCACCAGACTTATAAATCACGAACTACACTGTGAAAACTACTGTAGAGCTGGCTGCAGCTAGCTGTCGAAGGTAGAGTCGGATCTTCTGATTGGTCTGTATTCATACATGAGTGAAGTGATGTGTATTTTCTCACCATTTTGTTTCTGGACGCAACCAAAATCTACGTTAGGGGTCCTGTCCACTAATTCAAGCCCCATTGAAAAC